GTTTCTTTAATTGTGTAATAATAGTTGTAATCAACTGCTCAAGGTTGATACATGAATAACACGAAAATAAAAACGATTTCTTTTTGGCAGCGTTTCTGGTGCATTCCGCGACTGCCTCGCTGGTCGAGTGGTCGCAAGTGCGACTCGGAAGAGGTAAGTATTACTGAGTTTTTTTTTAATTTTCAGTAGTAAGCACGGAGTCTGGAATTGTGTCCGGTATATGGCAATAGGCTCACCCCCTGTTACATGACACTCATAACATAAATAGTGAAAAGTGTATGTTACATTGTACAGTGGTACAATGTGCATCTCTGCCTAATACTTCGTGGATAAAAGGCGTGATGTTATGTTATGTTCGGGTACGTTCCCTTTACACTCTATATACATATCTCTTTGTCGATTTCGAGTACGGCGATTAGGCTTCTACTTTTTATTATTTAATTTAGGAGCTTTGGTGCTTAGCGTAGCTAGCGCACAAGGCTTATGTACCTTATTTTTTGAATAGTGCATAAAGGGATCCTTGCCGGCTAATATCCAAATAAAATTAGATTAAAATTGTTCGACGGGCCTCTGCAAGTTGGCTTCGGCTCCTCGTACGCTTTCCAAACGTCCGGGACCTTGTGGTCCCGTGAAAGGAAAATACTAATAATAATGATTTGATTGTTTTTCATCATGTTCTATTTTAATTTCAATAGCGGTCTATAAAAAAACTATTTCTTCACTAAAAAGAAACTCGCCTTTGTTCTAGTTTCTGTAGAAAGAATTTCAAAGGTATTGAAAAAATTTGTAGAGAATTTTATTTTAGCGAACGTCATGGAGGAACTGTTACATAATATTATTTAATATACAACGTTTAATACATTGTAACAATTTTTCTTTAAATAAAAACTTTAACAGAATTCTGATATTATTTTTAAATTGCGTTCTAGTATATCAAATAACATTCTACGATACGGGTTTGACAGATGATTTTGACGTAAAATATGTTGAAAACTTCATACAAAAAAATTAAACAATAGCCCCCCGCATCGTGCGCACAAAACTATATTTCTACCTATATATATCATATAAAACCTTGTAACCAATTTTCCATAACAAAAACTATCGGCTATTTAAATATATATAATTTCATGAACTAAATCACGAGTTAGTCACATAAATATGTTGAGAAAAGCTCTACTAGTTTCGGGTCACAGAGGGACTCTTCTTCATGAGTATGTAGTCGGGTGACATCGCCGTGTCTGGATGTGACTTGAAACTTATAGAGCTTCTCTCAGTAGGTATATTTACGTGAGTAACTTGTCATTTTAGTTCATTCAGTATGTCTCACGATAGGTATTATAAAAATTCAAATATTTATAATTATAAATAAAAACAATCT